TGAAAGGCGGAGAGGAGAAGTGTAAAAAAGTGATGTGGAGAGATAAGAATTGAGAGGATAAACCAAAGTAGTGGAGTAGAGGATGAGAGGAGAGGAGAGGCAGCAGGAGGCAAAGGGAGGGAGCAAGTGGAAGGTTTAGTGCGTGAGCAGAGGAGAGAGAGAGAAGATATGAGAGCAGATGAGAGAAATAAGAGATGACAAAAATGTGGGAAAGAAGAGGAAGGAGATGAGAGGACAACAGATAAAAGAGCAGACAGCCTGCCACCCCACAGTCACGTCACACAATTTACTATGTTCTGGCCCATAATGTTTTATAGCACAATCACTGATAGCACAGTAGTCAGTAGTGATCTAATTTCACAACCCATATCCTTCAGTAATGTGAACACAAAGGGAGAAGCAGAGCCATTAGCAGCGTCCAGTACTCATCCACTGCTACTCATGCATAATTGGCTTCCATGGGAGGAAGCAAGAAAGGGTAAACAGCAAGCAATCACATTAACTTCTGTGAGTCCTAATTGAAATCCGTTAACAATCAGCGCAGATGATAGAGGTTTTGAGGATACGTGTGGCTGTTCATACCCCGAGCCCTCTGTCCTGCACGCTGCTCTCTGTGTTATGACATGCGTGAAGGCGTGTTCGCGGTATAATCAAGAGTTAAGCTTGATTCCTGTGCTCATGGGAAGCGGAAACACAGCAATCTGTACATTTGGGCATGTCAGATTTTTAACTCAGTCAGAGATTTCTTTCAGATTAATATCTGGTTTCTGCCCACATTATTCAGTGTGAATTAGGTCTTTACTATCATTGTCATATTTTACTTTTTGTATTTTATTTTTATTTTATATGTCTATACGGATATATACATTTTCTTTTTTATATATATTGTTAGATATTCTAATATAATTATTATTTCAATTCTTTAGTGTCTTAGGAGCACCTTGAGCAGCTGTAACGAAGAAATTTTCCCCAGGGAATCAAATATTTCTGATTTCTGATGGTGATTCAATGTTGAATTTTAAATTGAATGCCATCAATGAAACAATGAAGGAATTAATTAAATACTTTAAATTTACTGTCTTGCCGAGAGTTAGATGAGAAGATCAATACCACACTGATAACATGAAGCTACAACCAGAAGCCAGTTGGGTTAGCTTAGCATAAATACTGGAAGCGTGGAACGTTTGTATAAAGTTAAAGAAATCTGCCTACTAGAAAATAAAAAGTGTAAAAATCACAAATGTTCTCAGACAAAAAAAAAAATACTTAAGCAGTCGGATAAAACGTTATAGCAGTGAGCTTAAGAGGTGCTGGTCGGAGGACATTGTTAACTCTGGACAAAGCTAGACCGATAAGTTGGCTGATATTAGCTTATTGCAGGTATATCGCTATCTGTATATATGTATATGCTGTATCAAGATTGTTTCTTGTGTGTGTTAAAAAGAAGTGTTTTTTAAAAATATACTATGAGCCGTTAGCAGATCTTGTAAATCGTATAGTTTTTTCCCATTATCTGTAGTTGTATTTATCTATATGCTTAAGTATTTGTTTAAATGTATTTGTTTTCTATTTATTATCAGTATTCCTTTATGTAGCACTGGTAATAGTAATAAGGGGAAAGGGGAGAGTGCACTGGATGCTTCATCATTCCAGTTGAGTCTTAAACCACTAGATGGTGTGCTTGTCTCTTCACACTTACAGTACACAACATGCACCAGATGGATTGAGTGGAGACAAGCCAGAGAAAACACACACGTATTGTCTACATATCAGCATATCAAACCATTATCTCACCAGGTTTTGGATGGTTTTTGCGTAAGACAGACTCAAATAATGCACTGCAATAAAACTATGAATACAGAGCATATGGAGCAGCTGAGCAGCTCCTCGTGACAAGCAAATACTCTTGCACTGTCTGAAACTCCTTTTCAACAGAGAGCTCATCCAGACTGCAAATGCACCCACGGGGAGAAAAGAAATAAAACTCAATCCTCCGAATCTTTATCCAGGCACTGGCTCATTCATATTTGAGAGTCTGGATGTCAGCCATGCTAACAAAAAGCTGTTGAAAGGCAGTATAAATACTGAACAAAGTTGTGTATGTTCTGGTTCAAGGGTTCATAAATGCCAGACAGAGGCTATAGAAACCCTTCAACTGCAAAGTTCACAGAGTTGCTTTTAGTAATGTTGGATATTTCAGTGCATTAATGTGGCAGTCAGGCATGCTCTTGTGCCTCTTCCTGCCATGTCACTTTGTTAAATATTTATTCAGCAATTAACATAGAGCCTGGTATTGTTTATCTCTCTGTCTTCCGCTGTGATTTATCTTTCAAATCAAATCATCAAGGATCATATAAAGCAGTCGGTATTAAGCTATTGTGCTTGATGTTAACATTATTTCAAGACTGGTTCTTTATGAGCCTGGACTTATTTTTAAGCATCGAAGGAAAATAATAACCGAAAAGGTCTTACATACTGCTAGCGTTCCTACACCCCAGTGCCTTTCATGTTCAACAAAAATATTCTTCTTGCATCTGAGAATGTAAAGCTTTATATTATCGACTCTTAGTGAGCTTCACTGCTTCTCAAGGGCAAAATAAGAGCAGACTTTTCCCTGTGCTGTTGTGTTCCTTTTATTTTTTTCCTCCTTCTCCTCTACAGCAGATGGTAAAGAGAAAATCACTTTCTGCTGGGGGCAGGATGCATCAGGGTCAGGGTTTAAGCTTTGAGGTCCACTCTGAACCTGGCTGATTTGACAGGACTATTTTGCATACGCTGAGTCTAATCAAATATATGCAGAAGAAGAAGGCGGGATTTGCAAAGCAGCTTGATACAAAGATACTGATTAGATAAGGGATTTTACAGAACAGCAGGCAGGAGCCACATAGTCCGGTCTGATAGCAGAGACATACAGCAACCTGCAGAAACAAATAAAGATTCACAGAAATAATTTTAATCCACTGAGGGGGAAAAAGGAGGGGGGGGATTGAAGGTGTTAATATTGACATTCCAGAGGACCTGATTCTGCTGAAACTACACAGATTATTACTGTGTGATGAGAGGCAATCAGCAGAAAAAGACAAAAATAATTGACTTACAATTTAAGTGATAAGTCTGCGCAGAAACTTGATGATCTCCTCATCTTGTTTACCTGTTCATGCTTGTATCTTTGATTGAACTGATCTTCAAGGACAATGACAAATGATTGTGCTCGAAAATGAAATGACTAACCCTTACAGAACGAAAGTCAATACTGTAAATAACGAGGCACTGAAATGTTCGAGTTATGTCAACAGCAGCAAAAGAAGGGCCTCCTGAGAAAAAGAACATGTTCCCCGCACAATTATACTGTAGCTAAAAACAAATGCAGCCACTGACATCATGCTGGCACGATGATGCGCCTTATTTAAATGCCTCATATGCTCATATTCTTCTGAGCGCACCAAACCATGAATCATTACCAGCTTATGCAGATGAACATGCTGGTTTATAGGTCTTATGTGATCCTTTTACAATTAGGGACTTAGAAGAATTCTGCATACATGATTGGAGCAGCCCATTGACCAAACAGTGTTACATAATATCTTAAAACAATCAATGGAACATGAATAATTAAAAAAGCTATTCATATGAAAGGTTTCCATTACAGTAGGCCAAAGTTCAATTTGCAGGAAAACAGACAAATTACTTGGAGGCCATTTGAGCCATGATATAAGCCACCTACACCTACAAGGACGGCCTGTTTAGAAATCCTTTTCTAACATATCTCAAATGTACATGTGTGGGTGTATATATTTCTTACATGTTCCAGCCAAGCTGATGACTAGCCTTGGGACAAGATTGTGTGCAATGCCACAATGCCAAAGATGGTGATAGCTTGCTCATTTCAACACCAATGCATCCAAATGTGTTTTCTTATCCTTAATCCTATTCCTAAACACTGAGGATGAATACAGTAAACTGAAGCCTCACACCTTACATTCCCCTTCAATTTATTACAACCATCTTCCCATGGACTCTGCTCCCGTCAGGCCACCTTTTAAGAAGTGAACCCCATCCAGCGAGCCTGAATCCACGGGGAATCCTATGTGTCTCTGCAGAGAGAGTGAGTGAGTGAGTGAGTGAGAGAGAGAGTGAGTGAGTGGGAGTCAGTCAAAGCCCCAAGCACTTATAGGGAGGGGGTGGAGGGTTTGGGGTAGCAGTGTGGAGGTGGCTGCTGGGAGGCAAAGCTAATTCACTGTGACAGAAATCAGAGCTGTCAGGACCACCATGACCAAGCAGCATGGACAGCATATATCCAGTCAAAACCACAGCCAAGGGGAAGGAGGGATGTCGAGGGCTCAGAGAGAAAGGAGGGGATGCACTGATTAAGGCACTTAAGAGAGAAAGAGTGTGTGTCAATGTGTGTGGTTGTGCGGGGCAGAGGGGCAGGCAACTTCTATTCAGTCAAAACCACTAGAATAGAAACGACAAGGTAAGGAGGCGACACAGGTAAGAAGGGACCTTCACAGTAAGGAAGACCTTCAACACAGATGCTGGCAAAATACACGGGGAGATGAAGAGGGACGGATAGGATTTGCCATCTTCAACTCACAAAAACAGGCACATTTACAGTGCATAAGTAAGGCGACATACACAGTATAAATACATACATACATACAGTTATAAACACAAAAAAGAAAAACGTACAGTAAATTATTGGTGAAAGATTATCGGATAACACATTTAATATTCAAGAGGAAAGGTTCTAGTAATCTGATAGTAAGCAAAACACTAAATGTGATTAGAATATAATATTAATAGAATATTGTGGGAAAACTGATATTGTTGAGAGAGGGAGAAAGAGCGGGAAGGGCAGCCACCAGCATCATTACTTAATGATGAGAGAAGGAGACACAAGGCTGGTCTCTAAATGACACAAAGGAGGAGGAGGGGATTGTGGGAGATTAAGTGAGCTCTATGCTGTTTGCTGTACACTGCAAAGCACTGCAGGATGTTTGTTGAGCGGCACTCTCATTTGGGACGAGGAGAAAGACAGTAGGGGGACCTTAAACTTGGCAGAGAGGAAAGGCGGAACGCATTGGTCCTCGAACGCCTCGGGAGGAGGATCTGAGAAGAAGATAAGGATTAGACAGCAATGTTGTGGGGATTCATTGATGGGATACAACTTCGAAGCGCAGGGAAGTTGGACTTCACTAAGCAGTTTAGTCTGGATTTGAGGTTTTTTTCTTTTTTAGAAGGGAGAATGGGATTAACTAAGTGAGCAAAATTGCTCACTAGTCTGAAAGTGGTCTGAACTTTTCCCCTTTTCTGCCTTCAAATTCATCGCGAAATACAAGTCAGCAGCGGTAAATCAGTTTGAACTGATCTCTTATAATGTTCAACTTCATGTCACCTGATACTAACTGCAAAGAAACATCTTCTTAAGGTGAAGTATCTCTCTTTGTGCGCATGACATTTAAACACTAAGCTCTCGTAATATGTTAAAGAGTTTTCCTACGTAGTGGACAATGATTTGGATTTAGTCCATTAGTTGATAGACAGGAAATTAATCTGCAACTACTGAAATCAACAAATGAATCATGTTTTAAAGAAAAAAATACCAAAATGTTCTGCTTCCAGCTTCTCACAAATGTATATTGTCTGTTTGTTTCCTCTTCTATAACAGTGAAGTGAGTATCTTTAGGTTCAGGACTGTTTATCAGACAAAACAAGACATTATGAGATGCCACCTTGGGCTTTGTGAAAAATAGAGATCACTGTTTCCCAAAGCCCAAGGTGACGTCCTAAAATGTCTTGTTTTGTCCACAACAGAAAGATATCATATTACCGTCAAAGAGGACTTAGAGCAAACCAGAAAATATTCACATTTGAGAAGCTGAAATGAGAGAATTTGGGAAAAAAATGACTCAAAACGATGAATTGATAAAAGTAGTAGTTTGCAAGTAATATGATAGTTGACAACTAATCAATGAATCTACTAATCGTAGCAGCTCTGGTTGCATGTCTACATTGATTGAAAATGTGAATTATTTTTATAAGCACAGAAACATCTCTAAATAGTCTGAGGTTAGTGTGAGATTTTACTGGGGCAAAAAGGATTTGTGGCTGCTACATTTTTCATCTGCCAAAGATAGTGAGAGTCTGTGTATGGCATTAACCTTGTAGTCATTATGTGTCTGTTGAATAGCTCAAAGCAGCAGGTGGGTCAAAAAAGAATAGCTGTTTAATATATCATGCTGTTTCTCATTTGATTCTTATCTGACTAGGAAGAGCCAGAGGGATTAAAAAACCTTGAAGGATCTGACTTTCAGAAAACATGACCTGTGGACGGTATCCTGGCCCTCTCCTGGTGCTGCTCTGTCTCCTCCACGGCTCGGAGGAGACCTGTCCGTCCATGTGCCTCTGTGTATCTGACACAGTGAGCTGTAGCTCCAGTGGTCTGACCAAGCTACCTCTGTCCCTGCCCGCCTTCTCGGTCACCCTCGACCTCAGCCACAACCAACTATCCTGGTTGAACCCGGGCAGCTTCAACAGGATGCCCAGACTGGAAAACCTCCGAATGGCCCAAAACCAGCTCAGCTCGCTCGGCCATGGGGTGTTTCACAACGCCTCTGGCCTCAGGCTTCTTGACTTGTCCTCCAACAAGCTGCAAGTGGTGGAGCAGCACTACTTTCAGGGGCTTTGGAGGCTGGAGGAGCTCCTTCTCTTCAATAATAAGATTGCACAGGTGGAGGCCGGCACACTGAGCGGTCTGAGCAGTTTAAAAAAGGCCTACTTCAGCCTCAACCAGATCACACACTTCCCGTTCTTCTCCATCCAAGACCACAGCCATCCTTTCCTCATCATGCTGGACCTCTCGTCCAACCGTATGAGTCGTCTGCCATGGGAGGATGTGAAAGCTTTGCCCGGGTTGGTGCAGCGGGGGCTGTACCTCCATAACAACTCTCTAATCTGTGACTGCTCCATGTACAGTGTGTTCTGGCACTGGGATCTGAGGGGTTATGACTCACTGAAGGACTTCACGGATGAGCACACTTGCAGCATCTATGGGGACCCACGAGCGTCCATCCGGTTCCTACGACACAACCGCTTCTTTCACAATTGCACTGTGGAAAAAGCAGTCTCAGAGCCAGTGACCGTGCTCCTCTCCAACGTGTTGGTTTCAGAGGGAGAAAGAGTACGTCTAGACTGCCAAACGTCCCTGAGTAGCATAGAACTCTCATTTACATGGCTCTCCCCCAGCAAGGGGTATATCACCCAGACCAGCATAAATGACACGCTAATTAGCCTGTTTGCTAATGGTACCTTGGAGATCCAAGCAGCCAAGGTCAATGACTCAGGTCTGTACGTGTGCACTGCTCTGGATATTAAACAGGCACTGAATGCCACCCGTGAGGTGAATGTGACGGTGCTCCTGCCAGCAGCAGAGTCATTCAACACCGGCTACACAACGTTGCTGGGCTGTGTGGTGACTTTGGTCTTCATCCTCATTTACCTCTACCTGACTCCATGTCGCTGCAGCTGCTGCAAACAGCCCAAACCTCCAGTTATCCCCATTGCGACCTACGACCCCAGCACCCTAACGTCCGTTTTCTCCCCTTCTACCAGAGAAAGTAAAATCCAAACTAACAAGCATGTAGCATTCATGGAGCCAATGTTAAGTGAAGAAGGAACAGAATGGACACCACAAAGTTGATGCTGAACATGTTTTTTTTTTTTTTCTCTCTCTCTCTCTCTCTTCCCTGTAAACAAAAGACCTCTGGACAAAGCAAAACTCCTTACTCAGGAATTAGCTGTGAGATACAATCAGATGTGAGTGTTGTCGCTGTAAAAGGAAAAAAGAACATCATGTCTCCCCCGACTGCCAGCTGCAGTTAAAAGGCCTCCTGAACAAAAAAAAAAGAAGCAATATCTCCTTTTCTATTCTGCTCTTCTCTGTCATCTGGCTCAGTAGTCGAAATGAAAGTTTCAACTTTGGTTTATTACCCTCTGTGTACTGACATTGGTAAATCACAGTAGAGCCGTTATCAGCCCTAAAAATCACCTTATAACTTCTCTACGTACGGTACCAAGGGGGAATATTTCTCGCGGGATCAGAGAAGGAATCTGGCTCACTTTTCAAAGAAAGTGTTTAACAAGGATTAAAAGCCCTGGAAAAACGCTGCAAGTTTATGACTGTAATGGACTGCAGGAAGTAAGCTCAGTCTGTGTATCGTAGTTGAGTGGAGGAGCTCCATATTTAGCGTTGTAGAGACAGGCCTAGCACCTGCACTGCACCTGCTGAAGATAACTTTAAATATACAGCCCATATCTCTTATAATATGTAGCTTAAACATGGAGCAACCTGAAACTCTATCCAACTTCTGAAAACTTCTGTTCCCTGTGTTCCTAATAAAGGATTTGGTCCCTTTACATCAGTTGCCTGCTCTGCTGATATAGCTTTGGTTTAGAAGGCACTTTTAGCAAATACATTACCATCATATACAGAAAGAGAGAATTAAGATACAGCAAGGAAAGCAATGAATGTTTTTGTGCAGACACCATAGCTTTCAGCAAACATTTAAAACTCTTATCTAGCAGAAAACAGAGGTGCATTCTGCAGTGATCCATCATACATATACATATCTCATATAAACCTGTTGCATTAATCTGGCAGCGAAAAACAATGACTCCCTATCTGTGCTCTGCTTATCTGGCAAATAGTGAAGTACAGAAATCAGGAGTGTCAACAAACCAAAAACAAACAGCAATTGGACTGCTCTTCAAAGACAGCATCTCTTTGATCAAACACAGCAGAGCACTTTGAACACTGCGGAACAAACACAACCACAAAATTCGAACTGAAGTGACAAATACTTCAAGCAGCACTGACGTAAACCCCGAGGAGGGCATTACTTTGTATAGCTTTGTTTGTTGTTGTGATTTTTTTAATTCAGTGTAACATGCTTCAAATGACAGAATTACACACTGTAACACCAGGGATGAAAAAAGATGTTGCACAAGGACTTGCACATGCACTGCCATGACAGGGCATAAGTGTGTGGGATGGGAACATTAAGTCGATGACATGAAAGACCAAAGAGAGCGTACGGGCAGTCGAGGATGAAGGGATATTTTAAACCCAATGAGACCAACAGTAGCCTCAAAAGAAACAAATCAATTCCTTTAAGTCCATGCATCCATAATGTTTTGAGATTGTAGTTTAATCTTAATGCAAACACTGGGTCAAACTAGGGATTGCATCGAGATTGAATAGGATTAGATGTAATCCTTCATATAATGTCAAAGAGAAGTTGTCAGTAACCACTCCATCTCACAAAAGGAGAGCATATCGTTAGAGGAGGGGTCTTTGATTATTCCTAAATCCTTAATTAAAACTTGACTCCTTTCAAGCCTGAGGGGACTAATATTGTTGTGCAACTTGAATGTAAATTCACAGACAAAAAAGGTGGGAATCTGAAATCAAATGGGCAGCCGTGCATGAAACTGGGACAGACTAGCTCTTTGACAGCGCCGAGTTTCATCACCATTAAACTCTTAGGGATTAAGCAAAAATCCGTGAGACTGGGAGAGCACTGTATTGTGATGCACCACTCTGTTTAATCACACTGCTACTGACTTGTTACATTTGGCTTTTAAAAGTTTTACAGTTTAAAATGTTTTCACAATGGTAAGCAACGTTCAAATTCCTCACAGAGGATTACGCAACATACCGCTACGCGCCCGTGTGATGTAACATCTTGTATGAGAGCGTGTCGTGACCCGTTGTTTTTTCAAACCGGAGACATTACATGGTGTCATGAGTTGAGGTTAGGTTTTAGGAGATTACCACGAGGATAAAAAACAGGTGCTTTGTCAATTTCCGTGTTTTTTAATCCCTCTAATCTGGTTCTGCTCTCTGACACAGCGCACACAGCTGAGTTGGGATTTATTGTTTCTGATATGATTAGCCGACAGGTTAAAACATAGAGGACATAATGTGAGCATTTCATTAAGGGCTTTCTATTTCACAGAGGGTCCACAGGTGACCCTGGTTATGTAAGCATACTGCTGATTTAGGGAATCAACCTCAGTGTAGGCAGCGTGTCAGAGTTAAAATGAGTGAAGTTAGTATCCTGATGCCATTTGTTATCCAGCTTTTTATTTTAACCTTATGACAGCAAGTACTTTACCGATAATGGGAGGCCTCAGCAGTGCATTAAAAAAAAAAAAAAAACGGAGGTATAAAAAGCACACCAAAAATAATAATTTTCTCTCTATCAAATTGTCATACATATTCCTGCTCATTTCGAACATGAGGGGATAATAATAAAAATGCAGATTTAGTTTGCTGGAATTGGGAGCATCACAGCCATCCCTCTTTCATTTGTTCTAACATTTACACATTAATAGATTTCAAATAACATCACAAATTCCAGGCTACGCAGAAAGATGCGAGTGTGTATGCAAATTATTCTGAACCGCTCTAACAAATTACCTAGATGTAAAGGGAGGACCCCTTGATGCTTTAAAATATGTCCTTCATCCAAAGCAAAACACTCCACCAGGCTTCAATTAAAACATGCACTTCCCTTTTCCAGATTAATTGTTTTCCCTAGTTTGGCTGGGCTCCGAGGGATTCAAAATCATCTTATTCAAGAATCTAATTACTGTGAAAGGGGAGTTTCACTCTGAATAGCACACACTGAATTGCTTTCACTAGTGGAGGGCTGCCTTGACTGTCAACAGGGGCTATTACTGAACTGTCAAAACAGTCATCAGGCTTGAGTGGAGGCATCCAGCTGTGGCAGATACATACACATTTTTCAGGCGCTGCAGCACCCACGGACACAAGCTCGGTGGAGCCCCGGTGTCCCCAATCCCACAAAAAACCCTTATTTCATTCTAATTGGACACTTTACTTGGAATATATGCTCGAGAAACATACACACAGCGTTCGTTTCAGAGCAGTCCACCAACCGGCTACCCTCTGCAGTAGATCTTTTTTTAGGAGGTAGGCTGGTTGCTTCCCAAAAAAGACTAAAATAAATGTTGCCTGCTGCACACCAGACAACAAGCTGTTTATCATACCTCTGCACTGAATATGCACCGGCCATGTTCTGTCTTTTCAAAGCAGTATGAAGCAGCTGGACGACCAACATGTCAAGCAGGATCAGATCACTGCGGGGCAAATTGAACATGAATGCCTCATTAATCAAATGTATAGATTTATCACATTTCATTCGAGGCTGCAGTGAACAATTATTTTCGTTACTGATGAAGCTGTCGATTTATTGATTGTTTGTTCCATAAAAGAATCAGAAAACCGTGAAAAATGTTCATTTACTGTTTCCCAAAACTCAGGGTGACGTCCTGCAAATGTCTTGTTTTGCCCACAAACCAAAAAGATTTTCAGCTTACTGTCACAGAGGACTAAACAAGAGAATTAAAAAAATGACCAATATTGGATGATTAATTTAATAGTCGATAACTAATTGATAAATCGACTCATCGCTGCAACTCTATTAACATATTTCATTGCAAACAAACAAGAGCATATGAAGTGACGCACCAGGACCAAAGCCATTCGCCGTGTTAGAAGCATTATCCTGGCTCGCTGTCTCTCTGGGGCTGTTATGTGCTTCAGTGAGTAGAATTTAGCTGGATATTATAAGATTTGACAAGCACAGTCACCAAAAGTATTTTAAGTTTTATATTGTTGCTCATGACTACTTTTCTACAACATCCTCTTGTCTTTTTATTCTTCCTCTGTGTTCAGCTCGTGTCATTTCTCATACCAGCTTTATTGTATCGTGTTGTAATGGCGCTACCCTTGTTATTATCTGTCACACAACAACGACAACAATGAACTTGAACTCGGATGAAATATTTATTATTGCCACGGAAAATAGACCTTTACTGCCAGAGAGAGTACAGGTACCGTATCCTATCTATAATGTATTATAGTGTCAGTGATACTCATTAATGTACTTTATGGTATTTTATTTATTTTATTTTTTTCCATAGCAGCAGCATGGATCTAAGGAGACAACATATGTTAGTCGAGACTGTCCAGAATGTAATATCTCAACAACTACTGGATGGATTGCTGTGACTTTTTGTACAGACATTCACAGTTCCCAGTGGATAAAATGTAATCCTCTAACACCGCCAGCAGGTTGCCATGACTTTAAAAAAAAACACCCTGACTGAATGCAATGGCACACAATTTGGTAAAAGCATTTATTGTTCTTAGGTGATGAATCCTTTTGACTTTGTTTATCCCCGTGGCATTTTCTCTAGCGCCACCATGAGGTTCACATTTGTGGTTTTGGGTGAAATGTCTCATAAACTGTTGGAAGAAATTTGGTGCAAACATCAATGTTTCCATCAGGATGAATTGTAATAACTTTGGAAATTGATGAACTTTTCCTCAGGCACCACCATCAGGTCAAAATGACAATGTGTCCAACACTATAGTTAACCAAATACCTTCTAAACTAGTGACATTCCCATAATTCAGAAAGTAAAAGTACATAAGTATTATCAGCAAAATGCACTTAGTATCCGTACTGGTACTGGTGCTGCAGAAAAATGGCATATGTAAGCATTAGCAGTGCATAAGCAGGGCTTTACTGTTGCCGTTGGTGGAGGTGTGTCTAGTTTTGACTACTTTACTTTTAGTCCAGTGGTTCCTAACCTAGTGACCGGACCTCATCAAACTAATCTGGTGTGTTGTGAGATGAGTCAGTCAAAAAACAAAACATAAAGTTCTGCTACACGTTTTGTACTTTCCTATAAGCTGTTACTTTTTTTTTTTTTAAAACCACCTATCACCTTTTTTGGACCCCACAAGCCAAAAGCAAGCATTGTGGAAACACTCAAGTTAAGTGCCTCAAAATTGGATTAGGTACTCGAGTGTACTTAGTTACTTTCCAACCCTTCTTATAATGAGGAGCCCGAGAATTATCACCCAACTCTGTGGTTCCCTGCAGCTTTAAGAGCATTATATCGCTTTCAGCTCAGTGTTTTGGTTTAATGGCCTCAGCTTAGCACAAATGTTTTGCTCCACTCACATTTCTCAGCAGCCTTTAGCCCAGGCAGCTGTCTGCAGCATAAAAAAGCTCTGATAAACCCGCTTCATGCTACCTGCTCAGCGTGGCAAACAAGGTCAGCAACTAGCTTTAGGACAGTTAGCTGATTAACATGGTGGACTGTTTAGCATTAGCTGCTAAAGAGCTGATATATCCCCCAGGAGCGGGTGGAGAACAAAACAGAGCCAAACAGAGAGTGAATATTGGACTTGCATTCACCGCACACCAATATGAAAGTTGCTTCACATCTGCTGAATGTGTGAACAGACACCTGCATGCTGACAGGTTAGCCTGATATGTCAATGTTGTGTTTACAGCTTGTTTCTGCTGCCCCCAAGT